TGACGTGAAATTCCCTGAAATTCTTCTTTACGTGACTCTTGGCGACAGAGAGTGGCGCTATTCGGCTTTAGCGTGTGACCACGTCTCACAGTCATACAACACTGCCGGAAGAATTGGAAGATTGAAGAGGCGAGCATGGGTTTCTTTCTTGATGTTACCTCCTGGGCACGTCATTGATGGAATGGAACCCTCACCAAAAATCCTTTCTTCATTCAATCTATGGAGCTGAAACAAACAGCAGGTTCTAAAAATGATTGAAATGAACCAAATTTCTGTTTATCTTATATTTCTTGTAAATGTCACCACTCCCTGTATTACTCCATGAAGGATGTAGAAGATCAAAGCAGGTCGGCGTATTTTTTGCGATGGTGCTAGAGCCGATGCCTTATTGTAAAGGTATCGATATGCCGAGAATGTTGCGATCATCATAGGGCAGCAATGTTCCCGCTATGCAAATGGATCAAGGTAGTGAAACAGTAGTACAAGAAACTGCACTCGAAGATGCTTCAAATTCAAGTTGTTATATTCACTTTAAATGACTGAAGTTATTTTTATCGGTGAAACTGTCTTTGTGCTTGAAGCATAGAGTATTCGATTATTGGGTGCTCAGTTTACTGATGCATATATGCGAAATGTGGATTCTTTGCTTGAAAGCTGTTCATAAGCTGCAGACTCAGCAGGGCAGCATTGAAAGATGTACATTGGGAACGGCAAAAAAGATGGAAAGACGAATGAATTGGTAAGAGTACAGACAAGAATCTGCGATGTCATTATCAGAGTGAAGAATCTGATGTGGTATTGTATCGACCATCGCTGCACCAGAGAGAGACTAGTCTTGGTTGAAAGAGTGAATAAGTAGTACATATGAACCCGTCCATGTCGATGGAAGTATAAGCTGAGGAATTTCATTGCATGAATTTGTATGAAAATAGCGAAAAATATGAGTTTATGGCAAAATGTTGGAAAAGCCTTCATCCAGTAGTGAATAGAAAAAAAGTTGATTATGGGATTGGTTGACTGACGATCGTACGCTGATGACTATCATATTCACAAATTCGATATTCAGCTCCTGTGGTTCGAGTTATTTTCATTCTTGATTCGTCGCAAGTTCCTTTGCAAAGTGTGGAGTAACTGTGTGGAAAGTATGAAATCGAGATGCGACCACTGTTTTGATACCGTTTGCAGTTTGAGGCGAGTTTTCATCTTTAACCAGCTGTGCTACATTATTACTGTTATTTATGGATTCCCTGATATTCAAATTATCCGGTTTGTATTGCTTTGTTGATAGATCTGTTAGAATGTTTGTATCACAAGAAAGATTCTGTAAGAAAGATTTCTTGGGCTATGCGTGCCATAGGTCATAAGGCAGAGCATCAGTGTCAACTGCCATTCAGGAAGTTTATGGAAGATCCGATAGGAAAAACGCAAGAATAATCGTATCGTCTTCAGCGGTTGCGTCTTTATATTCGTTAGTTCCCGTGACACCTAAAAACAAAGTTTGAAAGGATCATCGATGAGGAAAGTAGGTGATTTATTTTTGGCGTTTTGACGGTTTGCAAAAGACAAATCTTAGTTGTCATCTTTAACCCTGGTGGGCAAGTGTCGATTTTTCTAGTACGAATGAAGATTATCTGAGTACCAAGATGGACAACATCGGGAAAATAATATGAACGATTTAAAGTATTGATACTAGAGTAAAGAAGATATGATATTCTTGTCTGAATTTACAGTCTCCTTTCTTCTAAGAGCCTAGGTGACTATTTCAAGTCAGGGATTCACGGTATTTTAGCACATTCTCTTCACGGGGCAAGTCAGGGATTCATGGCATTTTAGCACATTCTCTTCACAGGTGCAAAATTATACTACTTGTTCGGTCGAACAACATTTTTATCAGCAATGAATATCCTCTAGTTAGTAGGGATATATACCAAAAATTAACCTCCGTACAATGCGTTTGCTACCCACAATGCTGTGGAGCCCGGTTCTTCTTAAACGACGCCCTAGGTTTCTTGAAACAGGAGTACGATTTGCTAGCTTTGTAAATTTAAAGGTGACAAGAAAATGTTATTTTTTCCGGCGATATAGAAAACTGGCAGCTGGCTAATAAATCCATAATATTGTTGTTTATTTTGGTAAGGAATGCATATTTGCACTAGTGTACTGTACTTCTCTTTTCTAAACTACAGTGTGCAGTCGGCTATTATGGAGTAAGTCAGTAGCTTTAGATCACATCTGTTCGTCTGCTCCTGGAAGGGGGAGTCATTTTCTGCTATTTGTCATGTTGTTTACGCAAATAAACTACCGAGGGTATAAACCACTTTGTGTCGATGTGTTAATCCCAGGAATTTCCTCATAGTACTTTTTTCTCTAGCAGTGGAAACGACGGTATGTATCTAAAAGGATATTTAACGATTTAAATGCTTAGGTTTTTACAAATGAGTGACTAGATGTCACACACGGTCCTGATAGTGCAGTCTGACTCAGATGTGGACAGCAGAACATGGCTTGATTTCGAGACTGTGGGCGATTGCATGGATGGGATTTGCAGAAGCTTCGAAGAACACTTAAAGCAGCGGAATCCGCACTCTCAGGCGATGACTTACGACATAAGTCAGCTGTTTGACTTCATCGACCGATTGACTGACATCTCGTGCTTCGTTAGCAACAGGAATCAAGTGTACGTGTCACACAATCGTGAGTGGATCAAGCAGCAGATATATTTGAAACTCAGCAGTCAGTCTGCCAGCTAGGTGTACTTGACGATGCTATTGCTTGAAACTATGTGATGCAATATCTGTTGTCGGTTTCTGATCTGGTAGTCAGTCTCCATATGTTGTATGTACACATGTATGCAGTTTTGAAAATCGTGGAAATTTTATTTTAACGTTGTTGCACTCGTCTGTATGCACTTTTAAACGCGTTTAAAAGCAATAAAGAATTTTTGCATAGAGTATTAGTTGTGTATTTGAATATTAGACGTTGTAATAATCGTTATCAGAATAATGATACCCGTGAAGTCGCAATGTCAGTAAAGTGCTATACATCAGATTAAGTATTTCATTTATTTTATTTTAGCTCAGGAATAGAAACAGTGTAGATTTTCGAAATGCGGTTTTCTAAAAGTATCGAAAATCCGCGACCGTCATATTCTATCAAAATATCAATAAATTCATTCGTCATGGTAAAATTAATGACATGTTCAGTTGTCATGCAATAATTGTTTCTCTGCTGAAAAATTTTGCGGGATTTTCTTGCTGGAGGAGAACGTAAGACGTCTGAAGTTCAGTGCCGAGAAGTTACTTATAAAATTAAGAAATCGTTTCAGTTTAGTAGTTGGAGTCTAATTGGTTTTCTTGATGGATGGACTGCATGTCTTTTATTTAGAATGTTGCTACGTTGTAATGCCATTTGATATTTTATTTTTTAAATCCTGCATCAATGTACCGTCACAACGGCGTAGGTTAAGGGACAGGTCTGGAATGGGATGGTTCTAGTTTATTAGATACCTCGTACTGTCTCCGTTGCAGTTCATTCTGATGACCTGGTCTCTTTGGAGAAAACCTAATTATTTAATCATCCTTCTGAAACCGTTGCTCTTATGACCTGAAAGAGAATGCCTATTAATGTATTCGTTTGACACGCCATTAATGCTAATGAAGCATTAACCTTGAGCTGAATACCTTTTATTCATGACTACCGTTCAAAGTGGTAGTATGTCAACAACTTTTAGGCTTTAAGTTTTTGTCCATGAATACAATGACAGTAAAAGACCGTTTCGTGCAATTCCGGGAGATGTTCAGGAAGCAGTGTGAGGGTTATTCTTTTTGCAGTACATGGATAATAAAAAAATTATTCTATGATTGCAGGGTTATGATAAAAGTTATGCAGATAGGAGGAGCTGATGGGCACTTTGTAGATTAGTTTTATTTGACCATTTGTTAGAAGTGTAGCTTGGTGACGTATGATTAAGAGCATCAAACAGAACCGATTGTGCATTTTATGGCACCGTGCATATTCTACTTGTTTCTAGAAGTTTTGGCAAATCACGTTGGCAATGAATTTTACCATCGGTTTTGTTTGATACTCTCAACCACCGATCAAAAATTGGCTATAATATATAAATTTGTCGTTCTTTATTATTCAGCAATAGTATTTGGAAGAAGTCGATGAATGTATTTAATTGGGCTAAGAGATGAGCACGACTCCAAGAGAGATTCTAAGGAGAATCAGAGTCTGCCTACCCACGTTCCATTCCATCCAGGTGGTCCTCGTCTGCAACATCAGGAAAGATACTGCACCCACCCCTTCAATTCTATTGTCTTCCTGCTGGCGATATTATATAGCTGTTAGACGCTGTGAAATCCGTATGACGCTATCGGTCACATAGCGAACTATGGAATGGAGATGAATGTTGGGAATCTCACTTCGTGACCACAGCCCAATATTGACCAGGAAGCAGACGGGGGTGAAGGACGGCAACAACAAGAAGCTCCAAGTCAACGTTAGGAGGGTTGCGTTGACAAAAACAGTGATCTTTGGCAATGGTAGCGTTGAATTGTTCCGAAATCAGTGTATGTGCCTCAGCAGGCTGTTTCGCCCAAGGATCCTTTGGCATGCCTATGGTGCGCCGGTAAGAAGGTGATGGTGGGACTCCGTTGCGAATGTTAACTGTTACAACGCGAGTACTGCATACGGGCACCTCTCACCCAGTCTCGCCATGTGGTCGACAAAGGCGGTTTTGTTTCTGTCGATTGTGTCACCGATGGAGGGTGATCCAGTTCGTTTGGTGACAGTTACATTGCGGACAAAGTCATACGACTTGATGTTGAAGAGACACCTCTCAGTTCGCATGTGGAAAGCCTGAAGGTTTTATGCGTCCGCCTTCTGCAGTGTCCCAGGTCTCGATTTCATACAGCAGAACGGGCAAAGTTCAGGTCTGGTAGGCTGCGACAGAGTACTCGATGACAAGAGGCATGACACAGCGTTCATGGATAAAGTTGCGAAGCTGAAACGGCGAAGCTCCCGAGGTCTACAATTTCTTAATGAGTTATGTAAGTTTCAGAGGTAACGGAAGTGTTCATTACCTTCAATCGTGTTGCTTTGCCAGGAAGTCTCCTTCACCAACTTGTTCGATATCTTTTCGAACGCTGAGAGAATGGACTGGAAAACTTTTGGAGAAGAGGCGAAAAGGTAAGTGTCGTCTACGTTGTTGTTGTTGTCATTGTCATCTGGGGTGTCAGAGTCAGGAAGCGAGTAGCCATATTACTGAAGCCTGATGCAGTCATTTGCGTAATCCAGGGGCACTAATGCGAAGATGCCGGCGCTGTGGCATATGCTCGAAGATCGAGTCGATGGTTCTGCAAAAGGGCAGGGACAAACACGCACCCTTGTCTTATTGCCGATGATTTGAGAAGCTGTTTTGGGAGAGCTGTGCTAGTTAGAATACAAGCACTTGTCCCGCTGGGTAGCTCACACAGAAGGTTCAACAGCAGATCCAGGGCGCCGATGTCCTTGAGTGCTAAGAAGAATTCCGAGCCATCCACTGAGTCAAACGACCTACGTATGCCACATACAGCAGTCGGTTGAATGAAGGATGTAGTTGTCGAAAGCTGAACACGTAGTTGAAATTTCAGACTTCAGACAGGAGATGATCGCCCATTGATAATCTCTTTGACGGCATAAGACGCTAATTCGTCCACGGCGACCATGGAAAGATTACATCAGAAACTCGGTAGACCGCTCTTGAAGGGAGAAGGTTCGAAGCAGTGAGGAATGGCGGGCGTGTGCATCTTTAAAAATGAATCCGCGGTGCTTAAAAATGGTAGCTTTAAAAAAATTAATTCATGAAAATTTGTTGTTTTGTGAAAACACGTAAAGAGCGTCGGTTGCTAAACAGCAGTAGCAAGCAGTATATTGCTTTATCGAATAATATTATGCGAGATGCATGTCCCCGTTGCTGGAACGAAATTACCAAGAAGTTTTCGCTTGCTTAAATGGACGTCGAGGCATATAAAAGCAGGGGTCCGTCCATAACGACCTGAAACTCTCTGTCATTTCCATCTGACAACTAATTCTTGTGCCGAGGACGATGAGGAACCTCATCGCGACAGTCCCGTTACTTTGAATGCTGCAGTTTGTCGACGTAAATGTTTATGAGCGTTAACAAGTTGGTAAATCATAATGTGGCATTATAATGAAGGGCGAAGTCATAGTGCCATATGGCTTCTAGGATTATCAGTAAATCAATTTCCATAACAGCTCGTCCTTTTGGGTCGCAGGGGACAGACGTGTCAAACATCCAATATTCCTAATTCTGTGTCAGCATTTGAGCTTCGGCAAAAACAACCCAAGTCTACAGCAAAGTCCTTGGATACACTTGGCACAGGCTAATCTTGGCCTCCCCACGGTCTTCCGCCTTTCGGTTGGGAAAGTAGTAGTTGCTTCGTTTTACTTTCTAGAGACATGAAATGGAGTTTTGTTGAAGAACATATGTTGAACAATAAACGTATCATCATCAAAAAACACCCATGTTTCAGGCACTTTATGAGTCGCTGCTATTAACATATGCAGGTTGCAGATATCTCTTCATCTTTGTTAATCGCAGCTGAGGTTTCGAGATGCCTAAAGATGATTCCTAAAGGTCAGGATATGTAGTTTTGAAGCTATGCTGATGTGTGAGGAAGTATTTTAGTTCATTTGAGCATTGATTGAAGAGGCCTAAAATTTATGGGGAAAATTTTCATTTGTTGACCATACATAGTTGTATTCGTTGTTGCTCTTGGGCAGTAATCGGCTTCCTTGTGGAAGGTTACACGAAAGATATTTCCCTTGCAGTGCAAAATTGTAGTTCTACGTGCATTGCAGAAAGTCATCCCATCTTTTGGCATTTAGCATCCCTATAATCAGTGTGCTTTTCGTCCTCTCTACAGATTTATCTTTGATAAATTAGAAATTATTTTCGATAAGCAAGGGGTAGAAATTTTTAAATTAATTTACGTTTACAGCTTGTGCTGATTTTTTAGTCAGTTACCATGTCATGCGATTCAAGGCGAATTCTAGCCGCAATTCCGCCGTCTGAGCACGTATAAAATGTGACCATGCATGACTCACGCTTGTGCATGATTACACGAAAACAGCATGCCGTCCCTACTATGTGTAGGCCAACTTCCTGCAAAACTTTTTCTTATAATTGTACAGAAACACATAGAATGAATAACTTTCTCCTTGGAATTCGTAGCTAATAAGAGAAAATTTCCGGCCTGTACTGGATTGTAACCAGCACTCCCGCGTGCAAAGCAACCTGCTAATCAGCGGTGCTAACGGTCACCTTACTGACTGCAATGTGTGACGGGCCTCCTACTCCAAGGTACGTCGGTGGTGAAACCTTGTGAATGCGTTTGGTCGTCCGCAGCACTTGATAGCTCCGGAGCCAGAAGGCCTTCTTACCTTTTATCAAGTATTAGGGCACACTTCTGCAGTAGAGAGAGTACTTTCAGGAGCTCCTTATCCCTCAGCAGCTGCAGGAAGACTCTCGCCTGACGAGCAGCAGGTAACGGGTATTAGACCTTCAGTAGATAAAATCACAGAAGTTGCAAGATGCTTGAAAAGTAAATGACTGCTTGAATCGATGAAATTTCTCTTGAAAAGCTGAAAGCTTTAGGCGAATAAGGCATGCAGTGGCCAACATGTGTCTGTAGAACTGCAAAGACTACGTTGAAGGCACCTGCAGACTGGGAGCTCTAGAACTGGG